GAAACCTTACTAAGAACTTTCCGTGCTCTTTAAGTAACTTTCACACTCACCATCTTTCTCTTTGACTTAACTGGTATTTATTGAGCACTTACTGTATGCTGGTTACTGGGGACAAAGGGAACAAAGTACAGTAGTTCCCTCTTCTTTGTGGGAAATATGTCCCAGGACCCCCAGGGGACGCCTGAAACCGTGGATAGTACCAAACCCCGTACATACTACATTTTTTCCTATACATACAAACCAGTGACCAAGTTTAATTTATAAATTAGGCACAGGAAGAGATCACAACAGTAACTTCTCTTTGGTGTATCCGAATTGCCAGCATCACTACCCTTGTGCTTTGGGGACATTATTAAGTAGAATAAGGGTGACTTGAACACAAGCACCGTGATACCCAGACAGTGGGTCTGATAACCGACCCACCTGCTAACTGACTACGGGGCAGGCGGCGTCTACAGCGTGGATCTGCTGACAGGATGATTCACGTCCGGGGCGGGACGGAGTGCGATGGCGCGAGATTTCATCAAGCCACTCAGAATGGCGTGCAACTTAAAACTTATGGATTGTTTATTTACAGACTTTTCCATTTGATATTTTTGGCCCGTGGCGGTCCACGGGTAACTGAAACTGCAGAAAGCAAAACCGTGGCTCAGGGTGGACTGCTGTATCATATCATAAGACATGTGTCACCACCATCCTTAACCTGCCCGAGGCCACAGAGCTGGTGACCAGCAGAGTCAGGATTTAAATGCAGCTCTTTTCGACTCAAGATGCTTTTGTGTCTCCTCTGCCATGGGGCGTTTTCAAGGTTGTGGCTGCTGTGCTCAGCTCTCGCACCCACACTTAACTTGTCTCTCTAGTCCTAGCTCTGACCTGCTGTGTGATGCTAGGTGAGTTACCTCCCCTCTCTGGGCCTCTCCCAGATCTTGCATTCTATGATGCCTTCTCCAATAATTCCTTAGTTCTTTTATTCTCCTTTCTATGCTTTATTGAGAGAAAGAGAGAGAGAGGGAAAGAAAGAGAAAGAGATTTAAGAAATCCTTAAGGATTTAAAAACCTCATGCTCGGTTGTTTTAGGATAAGCAGCGATTCCTGATGGAGCTGGAACAGGACTAAGCATTTGGGGCGTGAAGGAATTTTAGCCTGGGGGCTCCTGCCTCGTCTTAAGATCGTGGACCCATCCTACCTCCAACACCCACAGCACAAGGCAGACGGTTGTAATGGATGTTGCAGTTCAGGGCGTCCGTTCGGGTGCCTGAGGGTCACGTTTTCACCGCTCGAGTCCTTTGGGCACAGGGCCCCCTCCTGGAACGGCCTACCCCCATTACAGCTTGGCCAACTGACACTCTTCAAGATTCTGCTTGGATGCCACCCTCTCTGGGACATTTCCACAACTCGCAGAGGTGAATCCAGCTCCCTTCTCCCTCCCTCCCACCCCTCCAGCCACAGCGCTTGGCCCACATCTCATCAGATTGTCTGTTTACTCCCCTATTTCCTGAACGCCGAGTTCCTGGAGGCCTGGGATCCCCTCTGCTTCATCCCTGGGACATGTAGCTGGTCCTCCAAAGGCTGTGCAAGTCAATGAGAGAGGAGGCGACTGTGTGTGAGCAAACTCGGCTCTGTCCTTTATCAACTGTGTGACCTGAGGAAGCCGCTTAACCTCTCTGTGCTGTCATTTCCAAATCCATAAAGTGGCAATGACAACATCTGCCTTATAAGGACTTCGGGTAATCAGAGGTTCCATCTATGAAGCGCCAACTACGTCCCAGATCCCATGCGATGTGCTGTGCATACGTTATCTCCAATTTGCGTAATTACCCATCTGCAATTATCTCTACTCACATTAGCTCTAATTTATGTAATTATTATCTCTCCGTAATAATGTTCACATTCATTATTGCTCACGGGTATAAACTATGCAGCTCAGGGCCTAGCACACAGTAGGTCTTTCATAAGTGGCGACTAATTGGAAGCGTTATCCTCACGCCCATGGCATCAACAGACTTGGCCGGGAGAAAGGGGAGAAAGTGTCCCCTCTCACCTGGCACATGGGGCTCATGTCTTCCTGACTCAGCAGACACCGCCCAGAGCCCGCTGTGGGCCACCTACCCAGCTCAGGCAGCGGTGCCAACTCCGCCCTCCTCGCTGATGTGATAAATAACAAATGCAAACACTTAGGCCGTGCGAGGGGCCCCGAGGATGGAATTATTTTTACTATCAAACCCAAATTGGTTTACTAAAACTGTCAGCGGAAACCAAGCAAGATAAATTAAACCCAGCAGCTCCCGGGCCTCACGTAACCCTCGCTGGTGAGATGCTATTTTCACTCCCTCTGTGGGAGGAAGGAGGTGCCGGGGCCAGACGCCGCTCTGCCAAGCGTGTGCCAGAGTCTGCCAGCGAGAGGCTCCGGGTGGTGACCGGAGGCCCCCGCTCCCTTCTGGAAAGCTTTGATCCTGTTAACTGCTTAAAACCCTTCCCCTGCCACCCAACTTGGGTGGGTCCAGACTCCCTAATGCGGCCTTCGGGGCCCTGCCTGATTCCGGTCCTTCCTCATTGATGCTGCCGCTCCTGCATCACCGAGCTCCAGATTCCCGGGGCTTCCTCCAGCTGCTTTCAAATGCTGGCAAGGATCCCAGGCCCTGGAGACAGGCCAACGGAGTTCGAATCCCAGCTCTGCCAGTTCCCAGCTGTGTGATCATAGTCACTCCTCCACCTCTCCGAGCCTCAGTTTACTCATCTGGAAAACGGAGGTAATGCTAGAACCCATGGCATGCGCCTGCTGTGAAGGTGCCTGGGGTGTGAATGTCTGGGACACACTGAGTGCTCAGCATATATTCGATATAGACAGACAAGAAGAGTCTTGCCTTCTTGCATCTGGACCTTAGCACATGCTGTTCCTTTTGGCTGGCACACTGTTCCCCTCCACCTCTGCCCATCTTCTATCTGTCCTTCAGGTCTCAGCATAGGTTGGGGTTTCTCTGTTTCGGCACTATTGGCACTTTGGGTCAGCTCTTTCTTTGTGGTGAGGGCTATCCTGTGCATTGCAGGACATTGAGCAACCTCTCTGGGCTCTCCCCACGAGATGCCAGTAGCACCACCTCCCCCCACTAATTATGACAACCAGAAATGCCCGCAGACATTGCTAAGTGTCCTGGGGACAACAGGGTCCCCAGTTAGATGTTGCTTTCTCAGGAATGCTTGTCTCCATATCCTCCACCGGGCTCACCTTTCTCACTCTGGACCCTGACTTAGAAGTCACTTCCTCCTTGATTTGACTCAGTGTCCCTCAGCTGCCTGTCCTCCCCATCATTGCTCTTATCACACTGCATATAGTTTCTTGTCTGCCTTGCCCACTAGATGGTGAGGGCAGAGACTGTCCCACTTTTCTCACAACTGTACTTCCAGCACCTAGCCTGGTACTTGTACACAGTAGGTGCACACCTGTTTTTTTTCAGCGTTAATAGAGCCCATCCAATCTATTCTTTTCCAATATAAACTTTACTGCTGAAGGGACAACTATCAGAGTCTTTCCAGTGCCTAATAATGTGTTTGGCTCATAGTAGACACTCAAAAAAAAAATGTCTTGAATGATGAGCCCTTTATTCCAGGCTCTAGAAGTCAGAGAGATGAGAAAGGGAGAAAGGGGGTGAATTCTCACTGGGGAGCAAGCGAGGGAGGCAATGGGCATGGGATGCTTAAAACCCCTCCAGCAGCCATGAAACACTGATATATCAAGACCCTCATTACAGATGAGAAAGACCAGGGCCCAAGAGAAGCCCAAAGTCACAGAGCTGGACAGCGGGGGAGACAGAATGCTGACCCAGGTTGGCCTGGCCCCAAGTCCCCAAGAGGCTACTGAGCAAGGTCTGCAAATGCTCAACTCAACTGGAGCAGGAGGTCCTGGGACAGCCTCTGAGGACCTTCCCACTGCCTCTCATGGGCAGCTTCCAAAGACAGTCACTCATAATTTTGCAAATAATTTTCCTCTTCTCTTGCAAGGCTCCTCTGCAGAGCCAGGCTGCCCCTGAGTCCTGCTTCCCAGCCAACTGGGTTTCTATTTCAGGCTTGAGGGAAGCGCTGACCCCCAGAGGCCCTGGCTGCATCCAGAGATGCTCTTCAGAGCTGGGTATTTCCCTGACTCTCTGCCCACCCTCCCAGCCACGGTGTCTGCTTCTGTTGGGAATCCCTTCCTTCTTCTTCTCCAGACACCACCATCCATCTCTGTCCCCTTCTCTCAGTCCCTGGGTAGTTGGGGGGGGGGAAGTTCTAGATGAAGCATCTATTAGGCTCCCCCACTGAGCACCGGACACAGCCACACAGCCAGGTGAGTCCCTTCATTACAGCATTTCTTCACTCAGTAATCATTTCCTGAGCACCTTCTATGTGTCAGGATGTGTTAGACCCTGGGACACAGCTAAATCAGACCAGGGCCTGACTGCAAGGACCTTCTGGCCTAGTCAAGAGAGACAGATAGGAAAATAAACTATTGCAGTACAAAGACTACGTGTTATACTGCCTTCTTCCTCCTGGCCACGCCCACCATTCAGTCCTTTGAAAATACTGTGCTTGCTCTGGTCACAGGGCCTTTGCATATTCTGTCCCTTTAGGATGCATTCACTCCAATTCATTGTTTAGTTCTGAGCTTTAGTATCAGATCTTCAGGGAATGCTTTTCTGACCTTCCTCTTTATATCACATCCCATTATAGACTCTCATAGCACCGCGCACCTTTCTTTACATTGCTTATCAAAGTTACATATGCAGTTATTGGTGTATTTTTTTCATTTAATGCCTGCTTCCTTAGTAGACTAAACTTCCTGAGGGTAGGGACTCTTTCTGTGTGTGTATGATTCTGTTTCCCTCACCATTGGGACCCAAGTTCTTTGCACAGTCCCTGACACATAGTAGATGCTTAATTAACATTGATTGAACGAATAAAGCAGGAGCAATTTCTTCCCCAATCTGGCTGGATTGGGGGTCCACCCAATCATTAACACTCACAACTGGATATCTAAGAAGATCCGTTTCTCCTCCCCTACGTGAATCTTCCAGATACAATCTTCGCCTTCCACGTAGGGCTCTGGCCAGTTGGGGGACAGCACCACCCCGGCCACGGCAGAGAGCTCCCCACCGCACATGGCTGTAAAAGACACAGACAGACAGACACTTCATTCATAAGGAAGTCAATGTGGCATAGCGGTTAAGGGTGTGGGCTGTGAAGTCTGACAGCCACGGCTCGCTGCGTACCGCGGACAGCTCCCCTCTCCTCAGGCAGTCCATACATGTTTGTGGGATGATTAAATTAGGACTGGCCACCTGACTCCTTTAGCGGAGAGTTGGCGAAGGTGGGGCGAAGGGCGCCATCGTTCTTTCAGGACCAAGGACAGAGCTCAGAGTTCCGCGTGAATCCTCAGTAGCCCTGCCCTTGCACAGGGCGAGTGGCGGCTAAGGGATGCTATGTTGCAGTCAGGTGTACCTGGGTTCGAGTCTTGCTTCTGCCACCAACAGGCTCTGGGACAATGCACGTAACTTCTTGGAGCTTCAGTTCCCTTCCTCTTTAAAGCCAGAGTAACACCACTGCTGACTTCACTGGGTTATTCTGAAGCTTAACTGAGTTCATGGGAGTCAAACCCAGCACAATGCCGGGCACAAGACAAGCGCTCGATAATTCTCAGTTCGCATGACTGGGAAGGGCCCCCGCTCTGAACTGGAAGCAGAGATGCGGCCGCACCTGGTGCCTTGACCTTTAAATTCCACTCTGTTCGCTGCCCTGGAAAGTTCTCAAAGTGGCAGAGGCCAAAGCACCAATAAATTCTGCTCTGTTAAACCAGCACATTTAATACAGGGATCAATTCCTCACCACGACGAGGCTGTGATTTCATGCCAACAGCCATCCGGGCGGCGGCTGCCAGGAGCGAGCACTCTCTTCATTACTCCACACACTCCACATGGATCCAGGCTCAGGGCAGCTCATTGGCCACGAATATGGGGAGATGGGGAGGGCACTGGGAGCCCACGGAGATGAGGGCCCCATGCAGCCAGCACTGTCCAGAGAGGCTCAGAGCACAGGTCTCTGAGAACAGAGGGACCTGAATTCCATTCCCACCTCTGCCAATTACCCTCAGTCTGTTCTCAGGTACGTCCCTTCACAGCTTCAGTTTCCTCTGTGAATGGGGTCAATATATGTACCTTGCAGGGTTGTGGTGAGGATTAAATCAGATAATGTGCACACCACCCTTGGCACAGTGCCTGGGACACAGCTTTTTCACTCCTATTCACTATTGTGATTATCATCATTATTATCAATTAGACTCAGGGCTGCCATGTGATGTTGGGTGGGTTGTGAACTGTGCAAGAGCGCATAGCAGACGGGGTACATAGCAGCTGAAATCCATGCACAGACCTTTCACCAAGATGTGCACCTTATAAAATTTATCCATTTTGTAATTTTCCTGAGGACCAGCAGCAAACGTGATCCAAAGGACAGTGAGCGCTGGAAGGGATTCAAATGATAAAATCAGTAAGAAAATCGGTGACATGCCTCTAAACTGGGGCCTTTGCCTCTTCATCTGAAGGGGTGGAGGTCCCTGGGGCCCCTGGGAGGAAGGCAGTGGGCCCACTCACCTCTGCACAGGGGCTCCGTGTCATTCCAGTACGGGTCCCGCACGTTGATGCACTCGATGACGGCCGGGCCCTGCTCCAGAGAGTGGCCGGGGTCGCACGTGAACTCCACTGTGGTCCCGATGTTATAGGTGGGGTCGGATGTGGTGAAGTTCCCATTCTGAATGTAGGGCTCGTAACAGTGGCCTTTCTCAAATGCTGGGGCGGGGGTACAAAAGAGGGACAGCAGCCCAAAATGAGCCAGGGGCCACCCACAGCCCTGTATCTCAGAAGATGGCTCCCCTCTTGCTGTTCAGGGAAGCTCCATGGAAAATGGGTACCAGATCCTGCGGTCCAGTTCCAACTGACTTGCTGAGGGCCCTGGGGCTATTAACTTGCCTTCCTGGGGCCTTATTTTTTAAAAAACCTAAAATGGAAATAAGGACCTCTGCCCTCCCAATCCCGCAAAGTCTGCGTTTGGAAGCCCACGGGTCACACTAGCCACTGGGTCTCCCCCATCCTTTGCAGGCCAGATTTCTACCTCCTAGGACACCCAGCCCCACTATCCTTCTTCTGCTCCCACACCACCACTCCAGGAGGGGGGAGGTCCCCGGGGACCCTCACCCTCGAACCGGATGTTGAAGGCTGAGGCCACTTGCGGTTGGTCCGACGTGAACTCGATGCGGATGCTGTTGCCTTCGCTCAGCAGGCCCTCGAAGGGGACACTCTCGATTTGGAGGGAGTCGTAGAGAAGAGCGGACTTGTTGGTGAGCCCGCTGTACACCATCATTCTGGCAGCGGGAAAGGAGAGGAGGGCCACTGAGTGGTCTCGGGTCGCTTGGGACACATGGTGGCAGGAGGGATGTGCAAAGAGCACCACATCTGGAGCCTCATTCCCAGACTCAAACCCAGACTTCACCCCTTCCTTGCCTGGACAAGCTGCTTCACTTTATTGGACCTGTTTCCTTTCCTGTAGATGATTGTCCTAGACTCCTCATAGACTATTCTGAGATTCCAGGGAAAGTGATAAGTGCAGTGGAATGAACCTGACTGAAAAATTGATACTGATTAATATTACTAGTTGAGAAGTTGGGATCAATGAGCTAACATCATTCCAGAAACAGTGGTATACATGGTCAGACAGTCAGAGTCCCGACTCTGTAACTTCTGAGAGGTGTGACTTTGGACAAGGACACTTTGCCTCACTGAGCCCCTGTGTCCTCATCTGTGAAATGGGTACAGTCACACCCACACCAGAGCGTGGGGATCAGAGACCGTGGGTATAAAGTGCCCAAGACAGAGTGGGCGTGCACGTCAAATTTATTACGCCTTTCACCCCGACAGGGTCTGTCTCTGATTCTCATTTCCCAGAAGCACCGTGTGGGGAGTCAGGAGTTCTGATTTCCAGAACTCCCCACCGACTGACTTGACATAAGTCTCGACACATCTTGGGCCTCAGTCTCCACAAACACAAAAGGAGGGGTCCTGACGCCTTTTCCACCTATCCTATAGGTGGGCTTTGAGAATATGACGGCATTAAGTGCCCTGAAAAACAAAGTGTGTTAGACAATATGTTGGGTATTCATTTCCACTGTTCTTAAAACCATTGGATACTTGACTCTTTGCTGTATTTTTAAAGAAATTATGCAAAAGTGGGGAAGGAAACAGTATACAAATTAGATAAGTTTCTTTTATGGAGTCATAAACAGGCATTTTTAATCCTTTGATTTTTTCCTGTGACTCATAAAAAGGGATTACGTTTCCCAGATGAATTTCTAATGTCACTAAAATGCACAATTGGAGGCATGGTTTGTTCATGTTTTCATGTGTCCTCTGTGGATGGGATGGGCAAGGGGCTGAGGTAGAGGCCAGGGGCCATCCCAGGACTGGGGAGGGGGCTCTTCACAGTCTTCTGATCCCTGCTGACTCTGTTGCATCTTGGGGGCCATGCCCAGGACTCTTCTTTCAAAGAACTGAAGTCTTTGACAAAGAGGGTCGCACTGGAGGAAATTCCCAAGATCCCAAAATCTCTGTAGTCAATTAACCTTCCAAAGATAGTGCTTTTCTAGCTATGTTCTCTGGAATGTCTGAAATAGTAACAAGTTTTGTCTCCAATCCATGTATAGCCTGTGGTCAAATGGGTTTTGGAAATGCTGGGTTAAATAAAAATTAAACTGTTTTTCTGCAGGACTCATCAGTGCCTTTGCTGGCTAATGTACATTAGCACCTTCCAAGACAGGGATAAGCATATACGGCATCTCCCAAACATGTCTGACCAGAGAATCCACCTTTTAAGCTGTATGATGGGACTGGAGTTTAGGAAATTCATTTTGGGGAGAATCATCTTAAAATCTTTCTTCATGTCCCTCCTTGACTCAAAATCCTTCCATGGCTCTCTATAGCTTACAGAAGCAGCCTGATTGAAAGCCCTTGAGCATATGACCCCAATTTACCTCTACATCTTTATCCCCCTTTCCCCATTCTCGCTACTTGGGACACTCTTCCCACTGTGTTTTGGGTTCCCTTGTTCAAGGTTTAGATCCCTTCCAAGGTTGAGATCAAGGTTCCATTTCTTATGTGGAGCCTCATCTAGCTCTAAGCTCTTGCAACTGATATATTGTGGCATTTCTGCTGTTTTCCTCAGCAAAGGGTGTAGGACAGATAAAGTTAATTTCTCTTTTCTTCTGGGCACAGTTAAGAGTCTTCATTTTGTGTGTGTGTTGGTCTTTAACCTTGAGGAAATACTACAAACTTCTCTCCCTAAAGACAGACTCAAGAACTAGTTTTCCCTGGTGGTCATCAACTCCCTGGTGTTGGAGTTGGTCTTCTTCCACAGACCTTTACAGAGCCCCATAGAAACTACGAGCGAAACTACAGCGTCAGTGCATCTGGCTCATTCATCATGATTTTAAAACCCAGAAAATACTCATTTTGGTTAACTTTTGTTTCCTCTCTGCTCATTCTCATCATCGAATGTGAACTTAGACTTGATTTATCCCCAGAGCCATTCAGAAGAGGCAGGCTCGAGGTGTAAGTTTTAGAAAGTGTCTTTCACCGAGGATTCCCAGGTACAGCTCCTCGATCGGTCTCCAGCAGGAAAGACTGGGAATACATTTTCTAAAGACTTCTCCATGTCTTTCTGATGCTACTGGGAAGCCACGTTTTTGGAGCCCCTGTTCTACGCTTTGTAATTTAAAGCGATGATTTATTGATACGGAGTTGTTCAGGATAAAGCCAGACTACTTGGAAGGAAGTGGACTCAAGAGTTGGGTAAATTATTCAGTCTTCTGGTTTTTCTCTATGCATCCTTTCCTACCTGAAGAAGTTAACGGTCCAGGTTTGAAGCTTCAAAGAAGCCAGGACATGGTAATTCTAAGAAGAAAGTCTGATAGATTCCAGAATTTTAAGGTGCTGGCATTCTGGAAGTGTAGCAAATGCTGTCAGGGCCCTACCCCTTCAGCACTCATTGCTCACACATTTTCTGCCAGCTTCCTACCCAAAGTCTCTGAGAATCAGCCAGCTCAACCAGCTCAAGGGGTGGCTGGCACTGTTGGGGAGGTAGTGTGCCTAGGAGCATCCCTCATCTGACGGGGGATGGGAAGTGGTGGACAAATACCCCAGCTCCCTCACCCCTCCAATATGACCACCTGAGGTCTGCTCAACACAGTTTCCCAGAGGCCCCCGGTGGATAGAGCCCCAGCTGCCCCCACAGTCCCCTGCTTATTAACACATACTGTGTGGAGTTCCCTCCCTTCCCTGTTCACTGTCCCATTTCTCTGCCAGTGTCCTCTAGGATCAGCTCCCAAATAAACTACGTTCCCTCACATCCTCATTGCCATGTCTGTTTCCACTGGAACCTAATCTAAGACAGCAAGTCTAAGCAGCTGACGTCCTAGTTTCTAGAACATCCTAGAACATTCTAGCATAAGGTCCTAGAATATTAAAGTTTTACGATTCTAGAGTCTTTGCATATTACTTAGAGTCCACAGACGTGGTCTTGCTTAGATGTTGTCTTGTAACTTCTCCCTAGTTTTTTCATGCATGTAAGTCTAGTTTTTCCATGTCATACCAGGAGCCAATGTTTTCTACTTTTCTCCATGGAGCCAAATACACGACATGGCACAGAACAGGTACTCAATAAACACTCCCTCCTTGTTCAACTGGAGAAAGGGGTGTGCCAGAGAAAGAATGGGGAAGTGCAATATGGGGGATCTGGATTCCCTTCTTGCCTCTTCCTATATCCTACCGTGTGACCTGGGGCAAGTCCCTTTCTCTCTGTGTGCACTGTTTCCTTACCTGTAAAAGGAAGAGATTGAAGCTGATGGTCTCTAACACCCTTGCCATGCTCCCAAGCTCTTTCTTGACTTCCATGAGCCAAAGCTTCAGCCATTTCACGACCCCAAGTCCCTAGCCACATTCTAACACTCTTAGGAGGGAATGAGGCTGGCTGGGGACCCTCAGGGGCTTACCTGTCCTTCTCATGCAGTGACAGCCTCTCGAAGTGCAGATGCAGCTTCTGGCCCTCTGGAGCCTCAATTGTCCACACACAGAACTGGCCACCATTGGTGTTTCCAGGGTGACTTGGGGAGAGGACGCGGCCAATGGTGGCATTGTGCACAGCTCCTCCACAAGGGGCTGGGGGCAGAAAGTAGGGGTGGGTGGGTGATGAGAGGAGAGTGTAGACAGAGAGGAAGTGAGTGTTTCATTCTCCCCTGATCGCCCCCCAACCCCTCAGTGGGAGGAAACAGGATGGGAGACCATGGAGAAGACCTGTCCTCCTGGGCTGAGTTCATCCTGTTTGATAGAAGATCTCGTTCTATGACTGGAGCCATCACCAAGTGTTTCCCATGGTAGGGAATGAATGACTGTGATTTAAGGATTTTTTTCCACAGCGCTGCCTATGCCCTGATTCTTAATTACAAAATGGTAATCAAGAAGGACATAAAACAGGCAGTTCACAAAAGAAGAAATACACTTTTAGTACTTAGCCCTAAAAAATTCAGCCTCACTAATAATAAAAGAAATGCAAACCTAAATTATATTCTATTTGCGTCCACCTAATTGGTCAAGATAAAAAGCAGCAATAAACCAGAGATGGTAAAGGAGATGGGAAGTGGTCACTCACTCACAACTGGTTAAAATGCGACTTGCTGTGACCTTTCAGGAGGGAAATTTGGTGAAAAATCTAGAAAGTATGTTCAAAGACTTTGACTTAGTAATTAAAGTTCTGGGAATTTATGCTAAAAAATAGATTTAGAGATTTTTTTCACCAAAATTTATGCATGAGGATGTTCCCTGCTAAATTGTTTCTAAGAGCCAAAAATGAGAAATAGCATGAATGTCTTCTCACAGCTTTTTGGTGAAATAAATATATTCCACTCATATAGTTATTAAAAACTATGTTCTCAAAGAATACTTAGGAACATAGGAAAATGTCCACTATATTTTAAGTGGAAAAAAAAAGTTAGAAAATGATCTGCCATACCTATTTCAATAAGTTATTTGCAAGGATCAATTGAGACCATAAAAATAAAAAGGATTTGATCCAGTCTTCTACACTTTTGTATTTCTTGAAAACTTTTCTTACCAGAACTATATATTACTTTTATCATAAAAATCTAACAAAGAGTACTAAAAAGTGATTTGTGAACTTGGAAGAGATATACAAATATGAGAAAGTAGTCTTATTCTTAGGAGATATTTGGTTCTCATTAAATGTTAGTTGAATGACTGCACGACTAATAAGGACTTGCGCTAGGAAGAGAAAGGTAGATGGCTCTCTCTGCTCCGGACTCTGGGGTGACCCACAGCAAAAACACTGCCAGGAAGCCCTATATTTCTTTCAGGACCACGGACAGAGCACCGGGTTGCTGTCTCCGGGACGCTTTCTGGTCCCAAAGTGGAGGTTCAAACCTGGCCACGATTCTGCTGTGGCTCTAGGACAAGTCACCGAAGCTCTCTGAACCTCGAGTTCACTGCAAAATGGTGATAACAATTCCACCCTCTTTATAGGACTGCGATGAGGAATCAATAAAATGATGCATGCAGAGGCCTGGGCGCAGTGCCTGGCACAGAGTAGGTCCCTGAAACATAGCCAGCTTTATTACTCTATGGCTCAGGAGCTGAGAAGATGGAGGGCACTGTCCCTGGTGGGGGGCGCCCGCCATCTGTCCTCCCCAAGCTGCCGCTCATTTGCTGCCTCTCTGCTCCCCTTCCCTGTCTTATTAAGTCGACTGATGGCTCAGTTTGGCTTCAATTTGCCAGCCATGGCTCCCCATCCATCTTTCTTAGCACAAACTGAGGCTTAATTCCTCTATGATTTCACACATAGATAAAAATTAACCCGAGAGAGGCATGGAGACCAACTGCCCCATGGTTTGGATTTTTTTTCTTTGTTATAAAGAAAAAGAGAACAAATTCTGAAGGGCCTTGGGGAACAGTACCACAACAATTAAATCTTAAAATTTATCATCAACTCTCATTTGCTTTTTGGATTCCAGTGACCATAAATGCCTGGAGGACAGGAATTATCTTTTATTGTTCCCAGTATTCTCCTTGGCTCATGACCTGCACACAGTAGTGCTCAGCTTATATGGGCAGCCTATACTCTCCTGGCCACTGTCAGGACTTTTGAGAATCTAATAGGGTTTTGCTCTCTTGACAGTTGAGGAGGGTCAAGCCTATGCCCACTGGTGCAAGGCCAGTGTGGTATAGCCCAGTGCTTCTCAAATAGTGCACGTGGATCACACGAGGGGCATGTTAAAATGTGGAGTTTGATTCGGTTGGTCTTGTCTGGAGCCCAGGACTGAGTGTTTCTAATAATCTCGCTGGTCTGCAGACCCCACTTTGAGTAGTGAAGGTGTAAGATAAAGAGCTCAGGTGGGAAGGGTTCTGGACTTAATTCAATTTCTATCTGGAGACTTTGGGCAAGTGACTTCACCTCCATGAGCCTCAGTTTGCTCATCTGTAAAGTGGGGATAATGCTTCCCACCATGTAGGACTGCTGTGAGGATTTATTGCAGCCCTGCCATGGTGCTCTGTACATATTGACTGGACTCAAAATATGGCAGCCGTCACACCAAAAGCATAAGCAACAAAAGAAAAATAAAGATAAATTAGACTTCATTAAAGTTACAAACTTTTTTGCATGAAATGACACCATCAAGAAGGGAAAAGACAATCCACAGAGTAGGAGAAAATATATGCAAATCGTATATTGATAAGGGTCTAGTATCCGGAATATGTAAAGAACTCTTACAACTCAACAATAAAAAGACAAACAACCAAATAAGGAAAACAGGCAAAGGACTTAAATAGACATCTCCCCTAGAGGATAAACAAATGGCCAACAAACATATTAAAAGATGCTCAACATCATTAGCCATCAGGGAAATGCAAATCAAAACCCATAATGAGATACCAGTTTATACCTACTAGGATGGCTGTAATAATGAAAAGGAAACATGGAAAATAGCAAGTGCTGGTGAGGATGTGGAGAAATTGGTACTCTCATATACGGCTGTTGGGAAGACAAAATGGTGTAGCCACTGCGGAAAATAGTTTGATGGTTTCTTAAAAAGTTAAACATAGAATTACCATATGACCCAGCAATTCCAATTCTAGGTATCTACCCAAGAGAAAGAAAAACATGTCCACACAAAAACTTAGACACAAATGTTCATAGCAGCATTATTCCTAATAGCCAAAAAGTAGAAACAACTCAAATGTCCACCAATGAATGAACAGATAAAATGTGGTCCATCCATACAATGGAATCTTATTCAGCCATGAAAAGGAATGAAGTTCTGATACATGCCAACACAATGAATGCTGAAAACATTACACTCAGTGAAAGAAGCCAGACACAAAAGTTCACATATTATATGATTCTGTTTATGTGAAATGTCCAGAACAGGCAAATCCATAGAGACAGAAAGCAGACTGGTGGCTGGCGAGGCTTGGGATGCAGGAAGAAGAGAAGAAGTGACTGCTAATGGGTACAGGGTTTCCTTTTGGGGATGATGAGGATTTTCTGGAACTAGAGAATGGCAATGGTTGTATAATATTGTGAATGTACTAAATGTCACTAATGGTGAATTCTATGTTATGTGTATTTGATCACATAATACACATTTAAATGGCAGCAGCCATCTCTGTTTCCAGCAGTCTCTTCCCTAAGGTCAATCTTGATGCCCTAGGTGTTGCTCTCTCCCCTCTTAGTGGACCATCCGTGTTTGGTCCAGCGGAGGCCGGAGCGTACCTGAGCAGATGGGCTCCTGGCTGCTCCAATGGGGCTTGGAGGCATTGATGCATGTCAGCGTCTTGGCACCCTGGAGCTCGTAGCCCAGGTGGCAGTGGAAGTGGGCCACCCCGCCGGAGTGCAGGTCCATCACGGTGACATCCCCGTAGTCGGGGCGGCGGGGGAAGTTGCAGCTCAGCATGAAGGCTGGGGAGAAAGGCAGAGGCAGACAATAATCATCCGTCCGAGGGGGAGACAATGAACGTGACCCACATCTCGGGAGCCAATTTGTGCTGAGGAGAAAGATGAGGCCCCTGGGGACTCCGGAGTGCTGGAGGAGGGTATTTTTGTGACTCTCGTTGATCATACGGTGCTGAGACTGCCAAATTAGCACTTTTCCTGGGCTCAAAGCTCCCCACCCTGCCTAGCCAGAGACAGCAGGTTTGGGGTGAAAAATGAGTTCCTCTACCTTGTTTGAGCCTTTGTCCACGTGGACGTAGAATGGCCTTCTCCTTGAGCACAGGAGGGACAGTATCGCCCAGATAGATTAGTCCCACCTGCACGGACATCTTAGGTGTTTGTTAAAAAAGCAGACTCTTACACCAGAATTAGAATAACCAGCTCTTCAAGAAATGCCAAAGGGTATGAAAAGCTTAAACACAACTATCCTGGGAGGTAAGCCGTTGGGTTTTGGAGGGAGAGCAACATGAGTTCACGTTTTTACTCTATCACTTGAAAACTGTGTGACCTTGAGAAAGTGGCACGGCGCCCAGGACTTCACTCTCCTCATCTTCCCAGTGAAGCTGGTAAGGTCCCCCCACCCCCCCCAGGTGGTGGTAAGGATGAAATGGGCTAATGCCAAGCAAGAGCATCCTCTGCCCAGTGTCTGGCACACAGCGCCCACTAGAGGGGGTGGCAGACGGGTGTGTGGGGCCATGTTGAGCTCCTCAATTTTCTTAAGAGGAAGTTGAACCCATCCGAGCCCCACCCCTAGACCGTGATCTGATCTCCCCTACAGAACAGGGCATCTATATTCCCAGGACTCATCAGGAGGAATAAACCCAACTTCATGGTTCAACAAGCTGTGTTTTTCCCATTTTTTAATTAACAAAGACAACAGACGGTATTCTCAATATGGAAAAGATGTCATGAAACAGACACTCCCACATGCCGTCATCCACCTGGTTCAGAAACATCCAAGGGGAAAGCTTAAAAGGATGGTTTCTCCAGATGTTTGGTCCATTTGATGTAAAAGTGGATGGTTTTCAATACCCTGCTGTGTGCCTAAGGACCCCACTTTCCAGTCGGTTATTTGGCAGGTGTCCAGGGAGAAGCCTCTGGTGGAGGGAAGCAACCTGAGGGCGTGGGAACTGCCCGGGTGGTGGGGAAACGGGATGACGAGGGAGAGAGAGAGAAGGAAGAGCGGATGGAGGATGGGGATGACGAGAGGGACGGGAGGAGAGGCAGAAATAAAGGAAGCAAGAAAAGAGGGAAGTGGAGAGAAAGAAGGAGAGAGGAAGGAAGAGAAGAGAAGTGAGAAGTAAGCAGAGAACAAGAGAGATTTAGAAATAGACAGGAAAGAAACACTGTACACGAAGAAAAAAGAGAAAGGGGCCCAGCGGCAGAAGCGCTTTACCAGAAGTCCACAGACTCACAGGGGATTCACGGATCAAACTCAGGAGCCATGACCTTGAACCGGCAAAGGGGGCTGGCTTACTTTCCTTAACCTTTAACTGATCTGCCGTGTTTCCTTCAATCACGAATGTAGGCGACAAAGTGTAACAAATTAGCAGAAACTGTGACTTTGTCACCAAGATCAATCACAGATATTTTCATATCATAATGGATATCTTGACACATTTCTGATGCTCCTCAGTACTTTGAAATTACAGTAATTATCAGAACTTCCAGGAGACATTATGATCTAATGTCTTAATAAAGAAGCACATGGATTACGATATCATAGATTAAAACAATATTTTGACAACTGTACTTCAGGATGACTGGTTTCCTTTTTAATTGTATACATTTTATTTCATGCTCTTAAAAATGTTCTTCTGAGAGGGGGTCCATAGGTTGGACCAAACTGCCAGAGGGATCCCTGGCACAAGAGGTTTGAGAATCCTTGGCTGCAGGGGGAAACTGAGACACGCGGCTTCATCTCATCAGCCGCGGCCCGATCATACCCTGGTAGTGCAGCTGGAAGGTCCCGAGGCCGTCGTCCTGGAAGGTCCGGAAGTAGACGGAGATGGTGTTGGTGGGGCTTCGGATCACCTGCCCCTCCACCAGGAGTGTCTGGTTGGCCAGGACGGTCAGCGTGGGGCCGTCCACCCCGCGGATGGAGAGCAGCTCCCCCTCCGACAGGTTCACGCTCTTCACCTGGGGACAGGCGGGGGCACGCAGAGAGAAACTCTGAGTCGTGTTGGAGCCGGGGCCCTCCCAGGCTGAGAGGCTGCCAGTGTAGCATCCTAACCAGCTGCAGGCAATGCCAACATAGCCCCCTCGACTGGACCCCAAGCCTCAGCCCTGGAAACATCTGGAGCCCTGGGAACATCTAGGACCCTCTCATCTCTCCAAAACCTGAGGACAGAGTAAAACCCAGCTGCAGGGCAGACGCACTGCCAGGATCTGTGGGACTCCATGGCTGGGTCCCGTGTGAAAGACTTCCAGATGCTGGCGGCCGAGACAGATTCTCCTGGAGCTTGTGGGTGGGGGCCAGGGTCTGACCAGCTTGTGCCCAATCTCCAGGGAGGCAGAAGAAGGCATCCCACCAGAATGTAGGCTCCATGGAGGGAGGGACTTTTCCTTGTGGCTCAGTGTCCCCAGTGCCCAGAATAGTGCCTGGTATATAGTGGGTACTCAATAAATATTGATCGAATGATTGAATACATTCTTCCCCTTCTGCATGGACTGGTGAGTGAGGGAGTGGCGGCCTCATTCTGGGGCATTCTCAGGCTCATTGTTATCCTCCCAGATGGTGGCTCCCACTATAGAGATTCCTTCAAGAACCATGTGTTTGGTGCCAGGTCCACTTTCCCAGCTTGGGGGAGAAAGAAGGAGGACACTTTAATTATACAAAAAGACACTGAACCAATGGAGTAGGTGTGCAGTGGGGACTTTAGTCAGTTCCCAGTGTCCACTTTGAACATTGATGCCTCCCTTAGTGGGACCTGGGATCCTAGTCCCTCTGCCCCTGGTCTAAGCAAGGCAGGCATCAACCCCTTCCTCTTTTTAGGCCATACACCTTACTCTCTTTTCTCTTTGATGGACTCCTACTTATTTGCCAAAGCCCCACCAAAACTGCCCTCCTCTGTGAGACCTTCCCTGCCTGCCGAGGAGCTTGCCTATCCCCCCACTGTGATTCTACGAGACTCCCCATAAACGTCGAGGAGACACCTTTTCAAGTGGCATCCTAACATCTTCTATGCACGTCTGTGTCAGTCACAAAGCTGTGAACTTCTTTAGGGCAGGCCCTGCCTCAGCTTTGCACATCACTATATCCTGCAGTGCCAACTGCTGGGACTGGTACACAGCAGGTGCTCAATGAAGGAATTCTGTGCCTGATAAAGAGCTCCATCCAGTATCAGACACAGAGTGGGTCTCTTCCCGGGGTGGAGGAAAGGGTTCATTAAGTGCCGCCATCTGATGGACCGCAGCTTTTCTCCAGTTCACTTTAATTCCGTGAGTATTTATTAAGTACCTGCTATGTGCCACACCCTGTGCTTAGTCAGCTCTGGGGGCTGCAAAGAGCACAAGTTCTGCTGCTGAGCGCTTACCTGTATCCATCCAGCACAAGTCAGGAAACCCTCCCCTGGGCAAGGTTCTGGTTAGGTCACGCCACCGACCCCGCTCAAAAAACTCGTGACCGCTCCTCACTGCTCACTAGAAAAAGGTCATATCCAGACCTCTGACCTTGGTCGGGCAGGGTCTGCCACCACGTGGCTCTGGCCTCCCTTTCCAGCTCCACTTCTGTCCTTTCCTCTGTGGGACCGTGAACTGGACAGTTTACCGCTCCCGGGCCTGTCTCCCTGGCCCATTTGATAAAGGACTTCTCAGGCCCGGCGGCCAGTTGGGGAAGGCCTGGAGCCAGGGCGGGGATGATTTGTAATGTGCACTGAGCACTCGCTCTCTGCTAGGCTCTGGCTGAATGCTCTCTGTGCATTGTCATCCTTACTCCTCTCCTAAACTCTGTAAAGTAGTAACCTTATCATCTCTATTTTATGGATGGGGAAACTGAGGCTCAGAGAGGTGGAGTTCCTTGCCCAATGTCACGCAGCTTTAACTGGGAGAGCTGGGACTTCAAACCTAGACGTTTGAGGGCTATGCCACTCTGCCTTTCTGTTCTTAGCTGACAGGCAAAAGTTTGCAAATGGAATGAATTGGTTGGGGCTTCCCTGGATGTGTGTGTGTACGTGTGTGTGTTTGATAAGCAGGATATCAGAGGACTTTCCTTATGGGTATAACGCCTCCCAATTTATCAACACATCCCCTCCCCTTCATGTGCACCAAGCCATTTCATCTGTGCACTGAGTTGGGAACTCCTATTCACTCGCCAAAGCCCAGCTCAAATTGCCCTGATGAGGGCAAAGAGAGAACCAAACCGGTTAAGACGATAACAGTAAGCCAAGTCAGACAATCCTCTGGCGATTTCCTACTGGGAGAGGCAGCCTCGGCAGGGCCCCTGTCTGCGGTTACCTGGAGCTCCACCCCGTAGCCAGTGTAGACCGTCACGTTGTACGTGCACTCCAGGAAGTTGCTGAGGGGCAGCGGGGGGTAGTCTCCGGAGTCAATGTAGCCCTCGGGATCGGAGAAGCTCACACTGCAGAGAGCTGGAGGAAGCTCTTTCATTAGGACACGAGGACGGTCAGATGCAATCTCTCAGACAGGCTGCAGGGTGGCACAGGGCCCCTGGGGACACCCACCTCCTCCTGGCCCCACCCCTCCCACTGCCCTTAATTCTCCTTCCGCCCCAGAATCAACACGATGATCGAGATAGCAAGAGCTGACGCGGAACCATCACCGACTGCCTGCTGCTCTGCACCATTCCCACCTGACCCTGTTCATCTTTGCAGGGACTAGGATTTCACCCCCACTTTAGACATAAGTAAACCAAAGCTCAGAGAGGGGCAGCGTCCGGGCCAAGCTCACACAGCGAGCAGGATTCAAACCCACAGCTCACACTCTTTAATGAGTGGCTATGTTGCCTTTGTCCCAAATCAGGGTATGATTGACACTCGCTGTCTCTCTTCTCGGTTTGAAGATGCAAAAGAATTTAGAAGAAGAAAGCCTGGAACACGAAGTGCATTTTATCACACCTAGAGAAGTTCAAAGAGAAAGCACCTCGGGAAGGCTTAAGGCCTTCTAGGCAGGCCAAAGAATTCTGGTCCAAGGTGGAAAGGTTTTGAATCTGCTTGTTAGCTGTGTGGCCTTGGGCAGCTTGCTTGATGTCTCGGGGTCCCGGCTGTCTTTAAGATGGGGATATTAATTCTGAGCCACAGGGTCAAGCTCATGGTCAGTGCTCAGTAGATGGTACCTGCTGGCGGGGCCTGGACTCCCTGGTCCCCCGGTCCCCATGCCCTGCACACAGTGGGCGCCTCATTGCTGCCGCAGGACGGCTGGAGGCGCTGGGCGCCGCCTACCTGGAGCCTGCTCAGTCGTGATGACCGTGGTGGTGGTGATGATGGTGGAAGTCGTGGTCTCCTCGGAGGCTGACCCGGTCAGATCGTTCTCACCTTTGTCCATCAAGGTCATGGGACTGGCGTCCTCAGGGGGAGCCTCTGGCGCCTCCTCGGGCGGGGCCGGCTCCCCGGGGGCGGGCCTCTGGGGCAGCGTGTGGGCCACGTAGGGCTGCGCGGTGAAGGGTGAGATCTGCAGGGGCGCCGGCGTCGTGGGCCCCTCGCCTTCCTTCCTGTCCAGCCAGAGGGGCTCCTCCTCCGAGGGCCGGCGGGTCTCCTCCGAGGTCGAGGGGTCCGGGTCCCCCGGCGGGCGGGGCTTCTCCGTGGCGGAGGAGAGGACGCCCAGGCCCGGGGATGCTGGCTGGGACCCCGCCCTCTGGAGGGCCGCGGCGGAGGTGGCCTTCGGCCTCAGCTGTTTCCTGGCCAAGTTCACCTGTTGGAGCGACGGCAGCTTCTTCCTGGGGGGAAAGGCCTGCTTGGTGGCGGCCTCCTCGGGTAGCAGCGTGGCCAGGGCCGCAGGGTCCTGATGCGCGGAGGGGGCCGTCCCTTCCAGCTCAGGCTCCCGACCCTCTTCTCCTGACTGCGCCGGATTCGGGGACGCGGTTGTCACTCTCTCTTCCCGGCTCTCTTGGCTCAGACTGCTGCTCCCCAGGGCTCCTGAGGGCATCAGGTAAGTCCCTGGAGGGCTGGCGTCTCCCTCGGGTGGCCCATCTTGGGAAGAGGAGAAAAGACATCAGTTAGCTTGGGGCTGGGGCGGTTAGGTCCTCTACCCTCTGTCAGACTCTGAGGGTGGCCCTGCTAAGGTGGCATCCAGGGCTTGCCAGGACCCTGGTACAGCCCCATCAACAGACACCGGGGCCACCTCCCTCCCTTCCTCTTTCCCTCTCTTGTTCCATCCTTCTTTCTCTCCCTTCTTTCTTCCTTCTTTCCTGCCTTCTCTCCCTTCATCCTTTGCTTCTTCCTTCCCTCCCTCTCCTTCCCTCACTCCCCTACTCCCTTCCTTCCTTCCTTTTGCTGACTGTGGAGGCTTAGAGTTGCTAGTGCCAGGCCTGAGCTAAGCGTTGGGGCTAGAGAAACTGAGACTCTCACAGTCTAGTTATACGTGTACTGGCAGAGGGAACAGGAAAGGAGAAATAACCATATTTGATGTGATAAATGATTAGGAAGAGAGAAGCTTTGCATGCTAACAGGACAGAGAAGACAGTCCCTAACCCAGTCTGTGGGGTGGGACCACCAGGTACAGCTGGGCAGGTTGTTCACTGCACAAGGACATCCTGCCGAAAAGTCGAGTGGGGCTGTAACCAGCCCGCACTCTCTTCTCCAAGCCGTGTGCCCTGGCTCAGGGCTAGATTGTCCTGGGATCAAGGGAGCATGTTTTTTTACTAAGTAATATAAAAGTGACCTTGTGGGAGACACAGAAAGATCTGAGGCTTCAGAATCATGAGGCAGATCCAGAACAGAGGGATGTGGGAGACTGTGGAGGCCTGGCTGAGGTGCGTGCAGCAGAGCCATGCAAGGGGCCAGGGAACAGAAGTGAGAGACAGCTGTTGAGGTAGGGAGGTCGGGGCCAGACCCTGGTGGGCCTCGTATACCCTGCTAACTCCTTGGGATTTATTTCGGTCTGGAAAGTAAAACTATCTAGTCATTTCAAATATGGGCTGACCTAGGCAGCTGTTTGACAGAATCACGCGTGAAATCAGCTTCATTTACTTATTTGAGACCCAGGTCTGCCAATCGCAAGCTGGCCAATGACTTCACCTCTCCGAGCCTCAGTTTCTTCAGCTGTAAAATGGGGCTGTAATTTCCTCTTTGCTGGGGTTGTCATCATTCGATTGGTTGGTGTTGGTAGAGCATACATACATGTATGTACGTACGGAGGCCTCACCCACAGTGAGTGCCTAGGACATGCCAGCTGCTGTCTTCCTTTTTACCATCATCATTGTAATCGCGCCCCTCCATAGGAGGTCGTGTGGTCTATCTTGAGAGAGAGAGGAATTACGTCCTGGGCACAGAGGCGCTCGGACTGAGAGCTGTCCTTGTCGATCTTCTGCAGAGAGACGCTCCCTCAGCCACAGTGTCCAGGCCCTTCAGCACTGTCATTTAAATTTATTTCCGCAGCCGTTGGAAAGGCTCATTTACTTTCATGGAGTCAGTGGCAGTGGCTTAATCTATATAGACTGTAACGGTTTGCAACCAGCATCAACAAATGTTCCTGTAGTTCAACGTTGATTACCAGCCAGTGTGCTTTCCAGGCCGTCAGAGGCACCAGGGCAGGAGTATGCATGGGGGGAGAGGGCATACGGATGACCTGAGAGCAGATCAAGGCCGTTCAGAGGCCAGGCAGGTTTCCTGGTCCACGGTGGGGAGCGTCGAGACTTCAGAGTTAGACCTGGCTTCCAATTCTGCCTTTGACAGTTATTAGCCATGAGATCCTGGGCAAGCCCATTAAGCTTCTTTTGTGTAATAAAGATACTCCATCTACCTCAGCCAGGGTCGGGACATCCAGCTCCTGAGACCCAGCTACGATTCGATGCAAAGAGCTTAGATGCAGCCAGGGGTCGGGGGACTCAGGGGTCGTCCTGTCTTGGCCAGTCTTCCCTAGCATAACTTCCCGTGGGTTTTCTCTTCTCTCCCTCTTCTCTGTGTCAAATGGGCACTAAGACTAGGTAGGGTCTGAGGGCCCTTCCGGCTCTGACATTGTCAGGTTTTGAAATGACCAGGTAATTGGCAACTATTCTTAGAGCCTTTTGTTAATCTTGCTTAAAAGGGCAGAGAGACAGCCTCCATCCCGACGCTGACGTGTGAGTTTTGTTGGGTCCTGTGGCTATGTTAGTTTCAGCCAGTCCTTTCACAAAAATGTCCCCTTGATCCCAAGTGGGGGAGGTGAGAGAAAGGAAGAGGGAGAGCGAGCAAGAGAGAGGGATGGGTAGACAGACAGAGAGAGGGATGGAGAGAGAGATACTGGGAAAACAAGTCGTGTCAAAGATGATAAAAGGCTTACAAATGACGTCAGTGTATCTTGGCCATAATAATAGTAATATTTGTAACATTTTACTTTTGGTTGTTTTAGTGACTGCTGGATATGTGCCAAACTAAAGGCTTTGCGTCTTCACTTAACTGTTCATTCTCTGTTTGTTACCTCATTTAATTCTTTCTCAACCTTACCAGGTAGAAATTATTCTTCCTATTTTTTTTTCTTAAAGATTGGCACCTGGGCTAACAACTGTTGCCAATCTTCATTTTTTTTTTCTGCTTTATCTCCCCAAATCCCCTCTGTACACAGTTGTATATCTTAGTTGCATGTCCTTCTAGTTGTGGGATGTGGGACGCCGCCTCAACGTGGCCTGACGAGTGGTGCCATGTCCGCGCCCAGGATCCGAACCCTGGGCTGCTGCAGCGGAGCGTGCAAACTTAACCACTCAGCCACGGAGCCGGCCCCTATTCTTCCTATTTTATGGCTGGGCAAACTGAGGCTTTGGGATGTGCAACCTTTCCAAGGTGGTACGGCAAAGCTGGGTTTCCAGCCCCAGTTTTCCTGATGCCAAAGACCACGCTGCTAGCTCCCTTAAGAATACGGGGTATTGTTATCACTGGCATCTCCCCCTGGCCTCTTCCCCCTTATCCCTTCTCTCTCTAAACCCTCATTTTGTTTGTGTTTCTGCTGGGTGGGCTACCATGTTTTTCAAACATCGAGATGATAGTCCGCATTCCTTGTTAAAATACGAATTGTTAGTCTCCCCCCGCCGGACCCATCATGTCTGTATCTCCAGGGATGGGGCTTGGGAAGCTGAAGATCGAAAAGCTCCTTGGGTGACTTTTATTATCAGGGTTATCGGAAAAGTTCATTCCAGAACCTGTGATCTCGCCTGACTTTCTATGCATTCCTTGTTAGTTTGGCCTCCCAGGTGCCTGAAGTCACAGGCAGCAAGTTTGTACAGCAGGTGGTGACCCTTTCCAAGGCCTGTGACCTCCCCAGGCCATCCCAGCCCGTCACGATGCAACACAGCCACCAAGAGCAGAAGGAAATGCAAGAGAAAGGATTCTGTAATCAGCCTCCTTGTGCAGCCATGGCTCCCACCTCTGGAGTCCCCAGGGTAAAACCCTGGGATAAAACTGATGGTAACCACAGCACCTATAAAGCATTTTAGGAAGTAAATCCAGCTACACGGAGTCAGCCCTTTCCCACGGAAACCTGACTGCCCTGGGGAGTTGCATATCCGCCAGCTCCCAATGTCCCCATCCCTCAGAGCTCTCACACGCCGGGATCTTGCTGGCTGGCTCCTAACTTAAGGCCATGTTCAAGTCAGATGAGAGTGCTTCTGAGGTCTGCAGGTGTACACCTCCCGCAGGGCCTGCAGGCCTTCTGCTCAGCCAGGATGCTGGCCAGATGCGCACCACGCAAAACCAAGTCCACCGGGAATTAGGCAAAATTGGATCAGGGCCTCCGAGAGGCAGCAACTTAATAACTTGTTCAGATAGGCTGGTTTTTCCTGGGGCCCCAGTGACCACTGGGTTAAATTTACTCCTCTTTCTCAGAGCACTTAAATTTTTCAATCATCCTAGTCACATTCGGCTGATTCTTCCTTTATCGTGTACATTCTGTGCCCCTCTCCAATGCTGTCAATCAATTAATGAGAGAGAGCGTTGGGTTCCGACTTTCTCTGCTGATGAAATTCTGCAGGAGAGAGTCGACACTCTAGGATGTGGTCCTTGCACTCGAGGGCTTAGGAAGACGGGCACCCGCTGATAACCATATACGAATATAAGCGGAGGTTTCGTTAGATACACACTGATGCTCTCTTCTCTCTCGAGACACAATGGGGCACATGGAAGGTGACTGAGGATTTGTTCTGCCATCCAAGCTGGGGAGGGAGCACATCTCTTTCTCTCTCGTGTTCTAACTTGGATGGAGAGATGAGAGATTAGACTGGGAAGCATCCTATTAAGGGCAACAAAGCACGAGTTCTGATGTTCAGAAGCTGAAGTTTGTATCTTAAATGCCGGGTGGCAGCGGAATGGCGAGGAATGGCATGGGTTCCAAGCGATAGCATAGCATCGGGCAGGCACAAGGTAATGGAACCAGAAGTGGAGAAAACCAAAGCAGAGGATGCTTCTGCTGTAATGCTCAGTGCAGAAAGCAAGATGCAAAATTCGATGGCGTGTAGGAAAACGACCAGAAATGACCAACGAAAACAAAAGGCACTGCAGAGTCGCGTTTTGACTTGGAGGAAATGCACCAAGGTGGTGGTCCTGGCTGCCGCTGGGTGTTGGGGCTTTTGGGGATGTGTTTTCTTCCTTCAACTTTTTGGTATTTTCCAAAATGTGGATAACAAGTATTTAATACTATCTTAAGTAAAAAAAAAAAATTTACAAAAAGAGCTGGGTTTAAATGCTGCCATTAGCATCTCCTGATGGCAAGGCTGTGGGAAGGCAGACACACGTCTGTAATCCCAGAAGGCTTCATTCGCCAGCTGAGTCAGGAACCCCTTTGGAAGGTAGTCTCCTGGTGGGGACGACGACAATTCTTCCCTCAGTGGACTGTTCACAGGGGGACCCTTTAGGAGGCAGGACTGGCAGTTGCATCAGTTGATATATTGTTGGTAAAGAGTTCTACAAAAACGTTAGTCTATTCTAATCGCCATTATTCATACCTGATCCAGTGATGGTCGCTTGTCCCTTTATACTCCACAATAAGGACTTGCCCAGCCTGC